CATGCACTTACAGAGATGGAGAGCTTATTCAAAGCTGGAAGTTTGCAGCGTGGCTTGGGACCAAATGAGGCAGGGAGACCCCGGGCCTGGGCTCTCTGTGCAGCCAACAGCTGCCAGCACCCAGTCAAACCCCGTTACCTACCAGTATGTCTCCATTTCTGTTCCAGTGAATCAAGACAGCTTTGAACACGCGCTGGAAGGTGAGTGACGAGTGTTTGCTGGGTGAGCCCCGCAGCCAGAGCCTGCGCCGAGCCCGGGAGGAGGGAGGGGAGAAGCAGAGGCAGAGGGGGGCTCGCAAGGTGCTTGCAAATGCCCACATAATAGATCTTGTCCTTTTAGTAGCAGAAGCTGCTGCAGAGACATCGCTCGAGGGGGGAAACATGGCCCTGGCCATATTCATCCCGGTGCTGATCATCTCCTTGCTGCTGGGAGGAGCATACATCTATCTCACAAGGTGGGGCGTGCAGCCGGGCTGGGGGGCAGCAGCAGAGCCCTGTGGGGATGCGGCCAGGGCAGGCTCAGCATCGCCGTGCCCTTGCTCACCGCACACCCCGGGCACAGTCCTGGGGAGCCGGGCACAGAGCTTCTGCTCTGGGGTCCCTGGGGTGCTGGAGGGGAGCGGGGATGGGGGGACGCGGGAGAACACGCTGACTGTTGCTTTGCTCTGGGGTCGTGCCGTGCAGCCCCACGACTCGTGCGTCTCCCTCGCAGGTGTCGATACTACTCCAGCCTCCGCCTGCCCCTCATGTACTCCCACCCTTACAGCCAGATCACGGTAGAAACGGAGTTCGACAACCCGATTTATGAGACAGGGGTGAGTCCTGCTGTGCCCCTCCCTCCCTGGGCACCATCCTGAGGGAAGCACTGGTTTTGCTGGGGGGGAAAAGGATGTGTCCAGCCATCCTGATGTAACAGTGCTGAGTAACGGGGCAGGAGGCTCCATCCCTGTCCGTCACTCCCGAGGGGCCGGGTGGGCCCCAGCAGGTGGGAGGAGGCTGAGGGGGCTGTGGGGTCCGGACAGGGAGGGCATCGCCTCCCTGGGAGCAAAATGACACCCGGGGCCTCCCTTGCCACCCAGGAATGGGGGGCTTGTCCTGACGCACGGCTGCTGCCCTCAACTGGCTTTTCCTTCTTTTCAGGAAACAAGGGAATACGAAGTTTCGATATAAGGACAGTGGTAAGAGAGTCTCCGGCTGCGAACTTAATGTGCTCTCATAGAACTTCCTCAGTAACTAATCCAGAGACCACGTGGAGTTTGGTTGGACCCCGGACCTGCTGTTGTCTTTCCTTTTGCCTCTTTATTGAAGATTTTACTGTTTTCTTCACTGTATTTATTCTATTTAAACTGCGATAGGTGTGCTGCAGAGCCCCGGGGGTGCAGGCAGCAG